TGTTTTCCAGAAATAAACCAACTTACAACGAATCTCAAATTCCTAAGAAGTATAAAACGATCCATTTCAGATATGGTTTCGGAGCTAAAAATCAGTCGAAATATGTACCCTGATGCTTTTTATCAGCACTTTTAAAATTAGGGTATGTCCAATTAGCACTTCAAATTGTTTTCATTCACAGACCCACTAGAAACGGTAGCTCTCATCTACATCATTACATAAGACGACTCAAGTGAGCACTTTAGAGATGCTCTCCCCCATATCTATTGGACATTGAACTCATTTTGATTCAACGGGTTGAAATGCCATGTTGTGAACTTAGAGACGCCTTAGCATTTGAAAAACAGTGCTAAAATAGCGCTTAATTTTAGATAAGCGCTTTCGCGGTGTCCAAGCAAGCTTCTGCAAGTTCAAAATTTGAAAAAAGGTTCGTTCCCTTTCAGTACTGAGAAATTCCTTTGTGGCTGCTCATTTCCATTTCATGGTATCTTCAGGTGTCAAATGTAGAAAGAGAAATAACGAATGTCTTAATCAAAGATGTAAATCAAGCCTTTTCAGAAATTTAATGAAGGATTATCTCAAACTAAATTGCAGAAGAGTTGAAGAGACACAAAAAATGAGGAAATTTGGTCTCAGGCTATTATTCATGAATACTTTTGCTCCTTGCTTGCGTTTGCTTCATGGTTGAAAAGGAGATACAAAGTAAGTGTCAAGGTATAAAATAGTCAAACTGCTGGTTCCTGTAAGCTTATAAGCAATTATTATGAAAGATTTATTTTCATAGCGCTATAAATGGACTAGGGTGAGCCAAAAAAGACGTCCTATAGACGTAAATGAAATTCAAGACCTTCATTCACTCCATGGCGCGAGGAAATGTGTGGGAATGAGAAGGAAGGGTCTTCGGAAAGCCTTCTTTCCACTTGAAAAATGAGCTCATTATCCAAAAGAAGGCCAATGAGCTGCGGAATGGATGTCTTCTCAGCATCCGAGGCATCGTTCTTTCCTGTCAACGTCGATCTCCATTTATTTTCCGGCCGTTTTCGATTACATTCATCACTTTAACGGTAAAGACTAGTTTAGCATTTATGCATGGAATTTCGGGTAAATAACGTCAGTGACAATGAGAAACGCCAATTAATTAATTCTTCATCTTATTTTAGTTTATACCACAGTCATAATAGTTGCAAGCATTCCAAATTTATTCGCAGTGACAACCGGTTCAACCTCTGCAAAGCTCGGAAAGAAGTGCTGGAAGTCCATGGCGCAGCAGCGCATGTC